GGGACAAGAGAAGTGAAACAGGGTCTTAAATATGATAGAAAACAATTTCCCTCCTTAGTTTCATGTTTCACCCATCATGTGGGTTTAACTGATTCCACCTACAATCATATGTTATTCTCGCTTCCTTCCAAACTGACAATTGCTTTCCCCTCTTTTTTCTTTCATGCACATTCTTCCATCTTCTACATACCATCTACTGGGTGCCACATATATTTACTGATCTTGAGCTCCCAAGAAGATAGGGGAAGTTGCCAATGCAATTCTCTGGAGTTTTGTATGCTGCCTTCCTGCGAGACAACTTGCTAATCTGGTTGCTCCTTCCTTTTTCTGGCAGTGTGGCTTTGTTATACAGGCTGGGTGCAGATACAGAGGATGGCCTTCTCTTGTAGACTAAGAGATTATACCTTCTAGTTTTCTCTACCAACCTCTACCTCTTCAGTCAGTGGTTTACTATATATTAGCAACTCCTAAAACATATAGCATGTGGATTTTTAAAATTGATGGCTTTACTGAAGAAACTGCAATTGCTTTTAGACTGGGTTCTAATCTTATTTGTGTTGTGCCAATGTATATGTACAGTCTTTTATAGGGCAGGGCTATGGAAACACTGACGCCGCTAAGATAACTTTGACTCAAATAACCTTGGCACAAATGGTAGAGAGTCATTGATGGACTTATGTTTGCCAGGACACGTTTGTGCATTTATCTGGTACGATTTGCTGAGTGCTGACTTGCTATGAACCTTTCTCCCCATTCACAGCTTGGCATAAAGAAAAAGAAGTTCATGCCATACAATCACCAACACAAATACTTCTTTCTCCGTGAGTATCATTTTCTTTCTGAGATATTTGTGTTCTTATTAAGGGCACATAGGATAGCAAAAAACCAGAGATTTTTTTCTGTATGGTGTGGTTTTGCTGCCATTGGTTGGAAGGAAGAGTGAAACCCTATTTACCTGGGAAATGTGGGGATAACCTTTTCCTGTAAAAAAATCCCTTCTAGTTATATTCTAGTTATATTCCTGTCATGTATCATTAGGAGGATACTTTTTTGTGTGTACAGTATTACTATAGCTGTTTCATGTCACTCTATTATAATCTCAAATATTATATTAAATTATATTTAATACTCTATGACAAACTGCACCACACGTGGCAAATGAAGCTTTGTATTCCAGAGTTAACACAGGCCTGGTCCACCTGGCTCAACACTAATAATAATAATAATAATAATAATAATAATAATAATAATAATAATAATAATAATAATAATAATAATAATAATAATAAAGTTGGAAGGGACCTTGGGGGTCATCTAGTCCAACCCTCTGCTCAGGCAGGAAACCCTATACCATTTCGGACAAATGGTTGTCCAGTCTCTTCTTAAAAACTTCCAGTGTTGGAGCATTCACCGCTTCTGGAGGCAGGTTGTTCCACTGGTTAATTGTTCTAACTGTCAGGATGTTTCTCCTTAGTTCTAGGTAGCTTCTCTCCTTGATTAGTTTCCATCCGTTGCTTCTTGTCCTGCCTTCAGGTGCCTTGGAAAATAGCTTGACTCCCTTTTCTTTGTGGCAGCCCCTGATACTATCTGTATCCCCTTTTAATAATTGAAAATATGGTGGATGTAGATGCATATGACAATGGAACTGAGCCACAATGAACCAAATGAGGTCTTCATGGTTACAGGAGCTGTAGTGGCACAGTGGCTAGAATGCAGTATTGCAGGCTAACTCTGCCCACAGTCAGGAGTTCGATCCTGACCTGCTCAAGGTTGATTCAGCCTTCCATCCTTTTGAGGTTGGTAAAATGAGAATCCAGATTGTTGGGGGAAATATGATGACATTTGTAAACCACTCAGATGCACTGTGGAGTGCACTGTGTAATGCACTGTGGAGTGGAAAACAAGTCTAAGTTTCTATTGCTATTGCTACAGACATCCTACTTATTGTGGGGAAAATATTAGCATTATTTTACATCTGTTGGGCATGTGAGGCTCTGAGGTTTGATCCATTAAAACAATTCTTAGGTCTTCCTGACACTTAGAGCCAGTGAGTGAGTGCGTAATTCTTCTCTGGCTTGCAAGAAAGTGAGACCACTATATCTGAATCTTGACAAAGTCCCCCCCCCTCAGTAGTAAGGAATAGAGAAAGTGAGATCATTAAATATACATAAAGGAGAATATTTGTAGCTCAGCACTGATGATGTTACCTAGTTTTAATGATGAAACGTCTGCAAGAAAACAACAAAGCTTAGCGAGCACCAAGGACCCCTCTTTTTAACCCTGAGCTACAAATAGTCTACTTTGCTTTGAGTTGATTTTACATAGACATGTATCTTTGCATTCTTCCTTAGTTGGTCCACCAGCTCTGGTGCCTTTATATTTGCAGTGGTATGTTTTCTACTTTGTTGTTCAGCGCAGAAAATGGGTGGTAAGTAGTATTTCCACTATGGTTCCAAAAGCAGGTTGTATTTCCATTGTGGCATAATAAAGGGGGGCACAGCAAAAATGTAGGTGGGTTTTTAGGATTCAATATCTTGGTATGGGATTATAGCATACTATTTGATAGAATATTTCTCTGTTTTTTGTGGCAGGATTTGGCTTGGATGGTAACCTTCTATCTTCGATTCTTCATAACATACTCATTTCTACTAGATCTCAAGAGCCTCTTGGGTCTCTTTCTCCTGCTCAGGTGAGTTCCATTTGATCCCACACTTTTCCTGATTTCTTTGGGTTGTCATGCCATGTCCTTGTAGGCTTTCTGCCTGATGCAGCCACTTGTATCGGCTTTCAAGTTCTGCAATTCCCAAGACGTTCTAAGAGTTGATTCTCACATGGTTGGGAGGATACCAATCGGGGCAAATTGAATAAACACATACACCAATATTCAGAACCAAAACCAGAATTTTGCTTTCTCTCTTGCTTGAGTGCCCTGGTTTAGACCAGGAATGGAATGCTTCAGCCTTCCCTGAGAAGATGTTGTGAGATGGAGCATGTTCATGTACAATGCCTTTTTGCATCTATAGATGCATTGTATCTTCTCAGAGGTGCTTTTCAGCAGATGGCAACATCTATTCAACCTTAGTTGATCTTGGAATGATTCCAAGCAGCTTTGACCATGGTTATAGTACTGCCCTCTGGAACTTTCAGGATTGTTGGTTAAACCTGGAAGTTTTTAAATCTTCCCGGAAGAAGACAAATCCCTTCTATCACACTGCCAAGATATGGCATGTATACACTCATCTAGAGTTGAACTCAACAAGAACATGTCTTTTGCTTTCTTTTTCTTTTAATCAGACTTAGGATCAGGGCTTTCTCTTCACATCTTCTCAGCCATTTTATACTGACATTTTCTCAGTGGAAAACAAATACTAAATAGGCTACACTCTAAATCTATTTTTTTACCATGAAGGTTGTTGGATGACGTGCCATCAAGTGGTTTTTGATTCTTAGTGACAACATAGATAGATGTTCTCCATGAGAATAGAGATTAATCTGCTCCAATTCACAGGGAAATCTACAACTCCATAACTGGAATTCTTCCTCTCCTATAAAAAAGGGAACCAATTTGGTGTAATGATTAAGGTGCTGGACTAGAGACTGTGAGTCCCAGGTCCCCCTTAAGCATGAAAGGCAGCTGGGTGACATTGGGCCAATCACTTTCTCTCAGCCCAACTCACTTTTCAGGGTTGATATTGTGGGAGAAATAAGAGGAGAAACTTCATATACATACACCATTCTCAGTTGTACAAAATAAAGATGAGAAATTATTGTTAGGGTTATTGTTATCTGTTAATAATAAACGTTGTTATAATTATTATTATTATTATTATTAATAATAGAAGTTCTTATTATGCCATAGTTACTCTGATTAATCATGACCATGAATTCTTCAGTACCTCTTTTTTTTGCTAGAAAAAAATGTATTTCATATTTGGTTAGTTTGTTTTTGTTTAATTTTCTTCTAGTTATATTTTCCCCTAATTCTGCCCCTCTCCTGGTGCTTCTCTGCTGCTTTTAAACTGCTTTCTTTGTACTTTTGTGTATGCTGCAAAAATTGTAATCTGCCTTTATTTTTGTTGTGTAGAGTCATAGAAAGTCACTGGTTTGTCTGGGTGACACAAATGAACCACATCCCAATGGCCATTGATTATGATAAGAACATGGACTGGCTTTCAATGCAGGTGAGATGCACAATCTCCCCAACTTTTACTTCAGGTGACATATCTGTTCATATATAAATGCAATATAATAGATGGGGTGGAAGAAGGCAAAAGGGAAAAATGACATTCTCTTTCTGAGGAAGAGGTCTGGTGTGAGATAAGAATTGTCTGATCTCAAGCTTTGATAGTCTTTAGATATGAGGTATGATGAAATAGATTTTAGCCTTTAAAAATCCCCCTCCCCCCAAATTATTTGGACATGCAGAACAAGATCTGCCCTGGAAATAAAACACTCCATTAGACTAGTCAGGTACCTGCAGATCTTTGAAGGGCTTTGGGGGTTGAGATCTGGTTGAGATTTCCTGCTACTCTCTGAGATTACAAAGGTTGTATTAAGAAACATGGTTTATCATTTAAGGAGTAGCCATATGTTTGTGGGGTTTATTTTGCCAGGGGCAGGATGATCAGACTCATTGCAGCCATAACCTAGAACTCATGTTGTTAATGCCACTGCTTCGTTGCTGGCTTTCTTCAGTTCAGATTGCAAGTGGGAAAGCATAATTGTTTTGTAATAGTCTTGATAGCATTCATGGGTGCAGTTCAGGACAAAGTCCTGAGTCCATTATAAGCAGAATATTTATAAAGCGAACCATGCTATTACACCTTGTTTGCATGACAGTGAGTTCTAAGGATATCAGTTTATGCCATCCAGAAAAGTAGAACCTAAACCTAGCTCTAATTCAGGGCACAAATAAAATCAGGGTTCTAGAAAGTGGAGACAAATCTTAAAGTTGTGATCATTGTAGACAGCTTTCTGCTCATAAGGGACTCACCATGGAGTTCTCACGCTGTTTTTATTTTGATCCAAAGTATAAAACTCTGTTCTTGTTTAGAGGACAGATTGAGACAGCTGCGGGCATGGAAATGTCCAGCCTGAAATAAAATTAACTCATTCTTAGAGTTGGCTTATTCCTCTCTTTCTTCCCTTTTCAGCTCCAGGCAACATGCAATGTAAACCAGTCCTTATTCAACGACTGGTTTACAGGGCACCTCAACTTCCAAATTGAGCATCAGTAAGTACATTTGCCTTAGGGGAAATGGAAATTTGGGGAGGGGGAGTATCAAAATTTCAAATAACCCAGAGCCTGGAAAGTAAAGGGGATATTGCTTGGTAATTGTGTCTGTTACATCTTCCACTGTTGTTCTCACCGTATTTGTCTTCTGAAGTTTCACATATCAGCCTTTCTGAAGTTTCACATAGGATCCTGAATGAAGAGGAACATAAGTGTTATGCAGATTAAAAATCTTCAATGAGATCTCCAAGGTTCCTTCAACCCCATTATTCTATGTTCTAATAAATCATCAGAATCATTCCAAGGAATATCAATTTGACTTTCACATCTTTCATCATTGCCTTACCTAGAACAAATTTCCTCTACCCCCTTTTTGCCGAGAACTTAACCTGAATCCTTCTACTTTCTCCCACAAAGCCTTTTCTTTAGCCCTTAAGCCCCTTGCCCCTTTGCCTGCTTATTCTCCAAATGTTCATCCTTATTTTTTCCTGAGGAAATCAAACTGCCTCTCCACCCTCTTTCATTCCTCCTGATATCCCAGACTTAATATCAAAACCAATTTATTCTCAACAAAACCTCATACTTTAATGGGGCAATACTTTCTACCTGTCCTTCTCCTCTGTGGCCAGGTATGCCTTCCGTCAACATGGTCTTTCCTCACCCTCTCCTGCTCTTCTCCTCAGTGTTTTGAAATAGTGTGAGTGGCTGGCCTATAAAGGCTGTATATGACTCAGTCAGTTGACATCCAGACTTGCCAGGCTCCTAGAGATAAGGATGAACGTGGCTAGAAATCACATTTTTTTCTATTGCAGGAGTTTATAACAGAAATTTAATTATTTTTCATTGAGAGGAAGCAGTTCAGGACTTTTCTGCATTATAGCAAGTTGTTCATGCAGATCAGCCGTCATAATTTATAACCACTCAGATTTTGAATATTTCACACTCTCTTGCCACCCACCCTTTTTGCCGAGGGGACTTGGATTTCCTCTAACTCTCCTAGTGATAGATTCTTGTTCTATTCACCTCCTTCTAGGCCTCCCATTCAGATAGTTTGATCTTTCAGCCACTGAACCCTGACAAGACCCTTTACAATAATCTGTGAAGATGGTCAAGGGGAAAAGATGGCGAGACATAATCGTAGCAGAAAAACTCAGTATGCAGGCAGTCTTAGATATGTTTCTGCCTGTTTTGCTTAAGAACTCAATCAAGCTAGGCAAGAGATGCCAGAACTATGCTTAGGTGCTTCTTCTACACCTTTCTGTTCAGCTCCTTTGGGAAGAGGTTGTTGGGCTTGAAGGCCTGCCTATCTCATAGTTATAAGAAGGGGAGCACTAGACTGCACAACATCTTACAGGTCTCTCTCTCTTCTTTCATGTAGCCTTTTCCCCACCATGCCTCGACATAACTACTGGAAAGTGACCCACTTGGTGAAGTCCATTTGTGCAAAGCATGGCATCCAGTATCAGTCTAAGCCTTTGCTCACAGCCTTTACAGATGTTGTATGGTAAGCATTGGCTCTTGTAAGAAGGTTGAACCTTTGTTGCCCCAAAGGTAATTTTCCAAAAGGCAACTGGAGTTACTTGTTTTTTTTCTTTGAAAATGTTTCGCTTCTCATCCAGCTTCTTCAGCTTCTTAGATGAAAGTGAAACGTTTTCAAAGAAAAAAAAATCCAAGGAAATCCAGTTGCCATTTGGAAAAGCGCCTTTGGGACAACCATAACCTGGGTGACAGAGAATCTCCACAGATATTTGTTGGAAAAGCAATTTCACTCATGGAAAGAGTAAGGAAGATAATTTGACAGAAATATGTAAGCACTGTTATCTAGACAAAGGAGGTTGAAATTCCATCTAGAGAAATGAAATAATCTTCAGAATCAGCTCAGGCAAAGGTCGCCTTGATTAACTGAACTATAAGGAAGAGGAATAGGAGGAAGTACATTGACTAATGACCATAATGTAGCCTGCTCATCACAATTGTAAGTCATAACAGTCATAAAACAGGTTGATCAAAGATCTAGAAATGTCCTGTGTGGCCTGGCATTTATGCAATAATGGTAAGATGAGGCTACAGGTGTCTCTGTAATACGGGCACTGGAAAAGCACCTGTTCTATTGTTTCAGTGTGTCCAGAGTCACAGGTGCCTGGTCTCACTGGGTAAGGAATCTTCCTGTATCAGCCTTCAAGGAGAGCTGAGGGGAGGGCATGGCATCATGCCAGAGTAAAGGCCCTCCAGTGTTTAGATACGATAAGTGTAGTTTATTGATTGATTTATATTTATTTATTAAATAAATAAGTTTACTCTGGATGGCTTACAGTGTTAAAAAGAGTAAAACAATACAGAAACATATCTATAAAAATAAAACTATAAAAATACAAACTATCAGCTATAATTAAAAGATGGGAGGGAGGGAGGGAGTAGGATGAGCGGGATGGTGGGGTAGTGGTGGTGAAATGTGTTATTAATCTATCAGCCACCTGTAGTGTGAGAGTCCCCCATTGGCTAAGCATGCCAAGGGAAGGCAGAGTATCTGTTGTCCTAGCTAGATGCAATTAGTGCTCTGTGTCAGCTACACATAGAAGAATCCTGGGTAGCAAAATGCGGATCACTGGCAATCAAGAATCATAACTTTTTTTTTAGCAAAAGTGTCCTTTAGCTTGTTTAAGGAAAGAAAAGGTGAGGTGTGCTGTTCCTTTTGTGCTTCTGGTTCTCTTAAAGTCCCCTCAGATTGGAAAGCACATGAGGGCATACCTTTCTGTGAAGTTACTGCTTGTCTGGAGTTTATTTTGCTTCCAAGACAGATTCTTTTGGCATCAGCTACTTGAAGTTATCTGGATTCTTTGAATACTGCTGGTATGGAACTCTCAGAGGAATCAGTGCCAGAGTTACTTTCACTGTTATTGGTGAGCAAGTGTGCTGACAGCTTTTTCCTGCACGAGTCAAAAGAGAGAAAGGTTTAGATTAGAAGGTTAGCAGCTTAACAGGGCAGGTGTTGGTGCTGAACATCCATATTTCTACCAGCACTGTGTGTGTGTCAGAATTGTTGTTTTGATGTCTGCTAGCTTTTGTTTCAAAATGTGTTCTGTATTTTTATAGATTTAACTTCCTACTTTAAAATGTGCTTTGATTCTTCGCTCTTGACATGGCTGGAAGATTTACTGGCATGCAACTGCCTGCAGATTTACTGCTACTTACATTTTTATGGCTCTTATGACAGGATCAGGAGCCATTTGTTACTTTCCAGTAATGAGATCACAGACTAACTTATTCTTAAAGACTCTGGCACTTTGGATGTGATGAGTTTGTCAAAAGATGGATTTCTAGGAGTTGTTTTTTTGTACCACACAGCAGTAGTTGGGCGCAATGACTGCTTCCAGATACCCTGTTGATATTGTAGGACATACTGCCAAAATGCCCATGAGGCTAGCTTCTGCTGCCATTTTAACCCCTTGATTGTCACAGAGGATTTGCAATTCAAGGGCTTGTTGGAAGCTCTCTGCCTGGACTGCAGTATGATTTAAATTTTATGCTATAAAGGTTTCTGCAGACAAAAGGCAGACCACATGGAAAGGTTGAGTCATGTGGTTGTGGGAAGTGCATGTGGCTTGTTTCAGGAGGTTATCTTCCCTACTTCCCTGCTCTGGAGGGTATTCGGCTGAAGCTTTGGAAGGCTAAGGAGGAGCCTGACTTGCTCCTTAGGGATTAAGGAGATCCTGAAACTGTACATCTGTTACTCATATTTTGCATTGTCTCTGCGGTGGGGAGATAGTCAATCCTCATCTCTCTCCTTACTGGAAGTATTGGACCCCAGTATCATTACTGGGGCTGGTCCAGGTTCTTTTCTTCCCGCTGGATGGCGATTTTAGGCCATAGGACTGAGTCAGAAGGGATAAGGATAGCCACAGATCAGGAGCTTATTACAGGAGCTGCTAGTCTATCACCACCTTTGATTCTCCAATTGTCTTTGAGGAAGTCTTAGAGTTCTGAGATTGCACTGGTAGGGGTAGCATATAGAAAGGAAATGCCGGTGAATGGCATGCAAATTGATGTAAGCACATGAGAAATCTCGTATGATTACTTGGTTCCCACAAGTCACAAACAAATATGTGAACTGAATCTATTGAAAATTATAGCCTTATACTCTGGTTTCTCTTCAGATCATATAAATCTTTCCCCTTTTACTATTGAAAATTATAGTCTCAAAATGTGATGAAAACACTGCCATGGCTTATTCACTGAATGGTTTATTCAAACATGCAAGCCTCTATTTCATCATACAGATAGTTGTTGATTAAGGACCACTCACTTAGCAAATGTTCAGAATTGTGATTGTGCTGAACGAATAGTACTTACAACCAGTCCTTCAAATTCTGAGCATCACAGCAACTTCCCCCCTGCCAGATCATGTGATTGTGATTTGGGCATTTGGCCTCCTACCAAACACCTCCCTTCGATCAGTCCGCTCCCATAGAGAGGGCCTCCTTAGGGTGCCGTTGGCCAGACAATGCCGGCTGGCGACCCCCAGGGGGAGAGCCTTCTCTGTGGCAGCTCCTGCCCTCTGGAATGACCTACCCCCCGACCTACGTACAGTTGCGGACCTGCGCCTTTTTCGCCGAGCCCTGAAGGCCCATCTATTCCGTGCAGCCGGCCTGGCGTAGTTTGATTATGTTTTAGTGGGGGTTTTGTATGGGGTATTTTTAGAGCAGGCCTGTTATTTAATTTGATTTTAGAACAGAAATTTGTGTATATTTATCATGGTTTTTATTATCGCCTGTTCACCGCCCTGAGTCCCATAAGGGAGATAGGGCGGTATATAAATTCAATTAATAATAATAATAATAATAATAATAATAATAATAATAATAATAATAATAATAATAATAATAATAATAATAATAATAATAATAATAATAACCACCAGTTCACACTTACAACAGCATCTGATGGCCACATTATCCATTCCCAGGAGGGAAGGTTGCAAGTCATTTCTGCTGCTTTTTTTCTGTTCCTTTTTTCCTGAGGAACCTGCTACAGAGAATGAGATCTCAGGGATCTTGTACTTCATAGCATGCATCTGCCCACAGTGTTCCCTGCACAAATTGTGTAGCAGCCGCCTTCACCTGGCTGTGCCTGCATGGTGCCACAGCATCCCCTCCCCCACCCAGCCACACTTGCTTGCACAATGCAGCACTGTCTCCTCACTCACCTGGCTGCACTCCCTAGCACTTGCTGGCCTGCCAGCCTGCTTGCAGGCTGCCTGAGACTTCGCTTCTTGGAAGCTGGCAGGAAATCGCAAGTTATAGTCATATGAGATCCTTGCTTAATGACTTGCAATCTTCGCTTAACAATGGCAATGGGGACTGCAAGGAGTGTCATGGCTAAACCATGCATTTAGGTAATGTTGTGCTTTATTGCTTAGTGACAGAAATTCTGATCTCAATTGCTGTTGTAACTTGAGGACTACCTGTATATCATTTCATGATAAGTCTATGTACATGAATAAGTCCTGTGGTTTTCTCCAGCCGATAATACTGCCTTATTCCCCGTAATTTAATTCTCCCCAGTCCATGTTATTCTATTTTGGATGATCCTTACATTTCGTATACTACCATTCACATCTGTTCATTGGTGTATACCCCACATTTCCTTGCTCAATGATTAATGCTTCTTTGTGATATCATAGTGCCTGAGCTGGCTTTGCCTCTTTTCTACTCTTTCTTCTAGCTCTCTCAAGGAATCGGGGCAGCTGTGGTTGGATGCCTACTTGCACAAGTAGGAGCCAAACACCATCCCATGGGGGACAGTTTCCCATCCTCGTCACCTCCACAATTGAAGACAGCAAGCATCTGGTTCAGTTGGGGAAGATTACCCTTGTGGGCAGAATTCTGAAACCTGGTGTTGCTGCTCCTAATGTTCTCCTGTTTTCCCTTTTAACTTGTGCATCTACCATCTCTCTTACCATCTGAAAGTTTGTTCAAAAATGCATATTCTCCAGCCTTCAGGACCAGAAAGCAATACCAGGAAAGGCCTTTACTGCCACTTCGCTAAACTTGGTGTTTAGCAAACAACAACAACAACAACACAGCCTTAATTGCCTATTCCTTACAAGAACCTATTTTGTGGAAGCAGTTGAAAGAAGAGAACCTGGAAAGAGAAATTCAGGAGCTGGGAATAGAAACTCCTGGTAGGGGAGATTCAAGCCATAGCTTTAGCATTGGAGACGTTTGGAGAAGGAAGAAACAAAGGAGATTACAGGGGCCAAGAGCCTTGATTGAAATACAGCAGCATATGAAGGAAATAAATCAATGATTTATTTGAGCAGAAATCAGTCAGTTCCTGGATGTAATTCACAAGCACTAGAGAATAGTTAGGCAAGGTTAACTATGGGGAGGAAAAGAGGATTGTCTTTTGTGCCACAACTCCCCGACATTCCTGGATGTACTTTACATAAAAGGATAAAGAATATAATATAATTATCCACATGCCTCTTCTATAAGTGTACAAGACAAGTTAGTGAAAGGAGACTAATGAACGTTGATGGACTTATTATTAATTATTAGTGCAAATAAATGCTGTTAGTCTTTGGGAAAATCTGTTATATTTTGGAGGTGCAAGAGGAGAATTAAAACAAATCTTTCGGTATTGTTCATTTATTGTGGCCACTTTTTATGCCTGAATTAAATTTTGTTTTCCAGAAGGGCTAAGCCTCTAAACTTTATGACCTGTTGACTTCAGCTCCCAGAATTCCTGAGCCAGTATGGCTACCAACCACCCCCAAAATTGTGTGCTGCTTTTTGATCCTCGTGCAAGTTGGCAAAGCCAAGTCTTCATGTTCTTCCCCAGAAAAATGGGCACCAATATCACCTCTGGGGGCAAAATGTTCCATAGGGTGGGGCAATGGCAGAGAAGACTGTCCTCCTAGATCCCATCAGTCAAATTTCTTTAACTGAAGGGATCCATAAGATACCCTCTCAGCATGACTAGATGGTATGGGCTGAGGTAATTGGGGCAAAATGGCTTCTCAGATAACTGGTCCCATGCCATGAATGGCTTTAAAGATAACAATCCACACCTTGAACTGAAAGCAAACTGGCATCCAATGCAGTTCACACAGCAGAGGTGTTATAACACAGTCCTTGGGGCACCCAGAACAGCTCACTTGCCCACATTCTGCACCAGCTGCAGCTTCCAGATTCTCTTCAAAGATACATGTAGGGCACATTGTAGCATAAGTTGATCCATACTACTAAATGATCCATACTACTAAATGATCCATACTACTAAATGAACACAGGTGAAAATATTGTTTCTGTTGTTAAATGGATGGATTGTACTATGTTTTATTGCATACACTTTATATGGGCGTTACACAGATTATCCAAAGTTATCCATGCAGTACAATTGTCAATTACTTTGCTGCCTTGAAGCTAAACAAGAGCCAGGTATCTTCCCCAATGATTTTCCCATAATCATGCTAGGAATATTGTGTCCAGTTCTGGGTAATTCAATTTAAAAAGGACAGTAAGAATTGAAGCAAGTGCAGAGAAGGGCTACCAGGTTGGGGGAAGGATCAGGAAACCAAGCAATATGGGTAATGTGTAAAAGGAATATCTGAGTATCTTCAGCCTAGAGAAAAGACAGCTTTTACAGAAGATGTGATAGCCCTCTTCAAGTATTTGAAGGGCTGTTACATAGAAAAAGAGTGGACATGCCCTATTGCCCCAGAGACCAGAACCAGAACTGATAGGTTAAAATTACATGGAAGGAAGTTCAGACAAGCTATCAAGAAGAAGTTTTCCAACTGTGTAGATTTAGTCAATAGAAAGCTTGCTATATGAAATGGTGAGTTCTTCACTAGAAGTATTCAAATGGAGGATGAGATGCTCAGACATGTTCAAGTGGATTCTGTATAAGGATAGCTTCATTCTTT